GCCGGATGACCCCTTCTTAACTCACCGCTATAGTATTTTTCCCATGAAAATAAGCGTCCCGATCCCTCAACAGCAGGATCCCATCTAACTGCATCATGTCATACAATGCTACCTATTAAGGCAGTTTTTTCTCCTACATTTTTTTGGAAATCGGTGGCTGGCCGAACTCAGCCACCGATGTAGCTTTCTTACTGCCCAGATTATTATTTTATTAGAGAGTTCGTTTTTAATCCGACCTAACTTACTATCTTACCACGCGTAACATACTACTTATTCCTGTTGTCATACAGTTGCTTACGCACAGCTGTGATAACCTATTTTTATTTTTTTTTATTTTAACGATAGCACTAAGTCTGTAGTGAAAGGGCCCCTTGGGCCTTAAATATACAATTTATTATTATCAATTTTATTTGAAGGCAGGCGTTCTCTGGGAATATAGGGTAGCATTATTGTGTAAAGTTTAGCGCTGGATCCCCAGATTGTCGTCAGACTTGAAAAAACGTGCAACGAACAATTAATATTTCAAAAGTGCTGGCACAATTATGAAGTCATACAATGTGAGAGCTACTTGGCAGCTGCAATTTGCGTTAGTCCATGGCGGGCAAATTACAAGTCATCGGGAATGAAAGATAATTAGCAGTTGCGGTAAACGTTAGTCCGGGCCGTCGCCCCTTCCATCTTTCTTTGAGATCTTTGCACACTATCCAGCTCGATCTCTCGGCTGATGTAAGAATCATCGAAGTACATGACCTCAGTACATTCTCGGCCTTTCTTGGAGGCGAAATTACGCTATTACAACTATTTCTATTTTTCCACCATGGACTGACGCAAATGGAATCCGCCATTCAGCACTAACACCAGATGATTGTGCAATTGTACCAGCATTCCTGAAGCTTTAATTGACCGTTGACCATCTGCTCAAGTCTAACGACAGGCTGGGGCTCCGGCGTCGAAAATTTACTCAATGAAGTAACTCTATTTTCTCAAAGAACGACTTATTTCAAATAAAATTTCTTGTGATGCCTGCCTTCCAATTTCTATGGAAGAATTCTCTTGTACATACCACGAAATTTCATGAATTTGACAATCTACTGTATATAACTGCCCTTTCCCTTTTTCGCTTCTGCTCCTCCGCCGTTATTTGCCTACTGCTGCTGCTGCTGCTGCTGCAACTCAAAAACGACTCACCAGAGGAGGATTCCTCTTCCTCCTCCTCCTCCTCCTCATCCTCCTGCTCCTCATCCTCCTCCTCGCCCGTCCCCTCGTTCTCTTCTTCGTCCTCTTCCACAAACGACTGATGGCCGTCGATTGGATGTGTCGCACACTCAAATTCACAACTCAGGTTAAAAAAGTCCTCCAAAGTTATCGACCCATCTAATGGATCGTCCTCCTCCAGGTGTTTCGGCTTCGAGCGCGGTTCAGCGAACAGGGCGCACAGCACATAGTTG